AAAAAAAAAAAAAAAAAAAAAGAGTAACTAATACATTTAATTTATTTTATTGAGCATTTACCATATACCAAGCACTACTAAGCTTACATGAATGCTGTCATTCAGTTCTAATGGCAGTCCTTTAAGTCTGGCTTTTACAATGAAGAAACCGAAGCTTAGAATAATTTACCAAAGGTTACACAGTTCTGAGTGGCACAGTTGGGGTTTTAGATCTTAGTTCATTGTACCTGAAAGCCTGTGCTGTCAGTACCCAGAAGGAGATCTCAAAAGTAGGGTGTGGGAGGAATGATGGTAGGTTCTTGGGAGAAGAGCAGTGGTAGAGCGGACTTCACTTGGAATTCCAGTTCAATTAATTTGAATTCCAATTTTTCAGCTTACTAGTTTGTGACATTGAGGAAGTTATTTAAATTCTTTGGGTCAGTTTGCTGGTAAGTACCCTACAGTATTTCTCTGTGGGATTGTTGTGAGGATTGAGTGAGATAATATAAGAAAGGACAAAATACAATGCCTAGTACACAGTTGCTATGTAACTAGAATTTATTGTGTCAGCCGTCTTTGAAAGCCTGTCATATAGAAAGGGGATCTTTTGTATCAGAGGTTAGAATTAAGATGGAAAGAAAGCTGGGGATATAGTTTAGTGGTACAGTGCTTGCCTGTTAAGTGCAAGGTCCTGAGTTTGATCCCCAGCACCAAAAAAAAAAAAAAAAAAAAAAAAAAAATTGAAGCTGGGCATGGTGGCACACACCTGTAATCCCAGCACTCAAGAGGCTGAGGCAGGAGGATCATTGCGAGTTTGAGGCCAGCCTTGGCTACAAAGTGAGCTCAAGACCAGCCTGAACTGTATAATAGGACCTTGTCTTAAAAAGACAAAAAAAAAAAAAAAAGATGGAAGTTATAGGAGGGTAAACAAGGATTCAGTAATAATATGACATTTCTAACATTGCAAAAAGTGTAGTGGACTTTCTTGTAAGAGAATGAGTTCCCTGTCAGTGAGTTCTTTGTCAGGGAGGGGTTGGGTGAATGATCATTTATTAGAGATACTGTAGAGAAGATTCGCTGGGGATATAGCTCAGTGGCACAGCACCTGCCTAGCAAGTGCAAGGGCCTGAGTTCAATTCCTGGTACCAAAAAAAAAAAAAGTAGAGAAGATTCCAGGCTGGGGATGTAGCCCAGTGGTAGAGCACTTGTCTGGCAGGCATGAGGCTTTGGGTTCAGTTCCCAGCATTGCTGTTGAGGTGGGGGTAAGAGGCAAAATTCTATTTTGTCTGGGAGTTTGGGGAATATGAAAGATTCTATGATTCTGTGTCCATCTCAGTGACTCCCTGTGGTTAGATTCAACGAAAGGGAGACTTATCGTTGGGACTGTTCACAACAAAGAAGGTTTCATGGGGCCCAGAGTCCTTGATTAGAGGTAGGCGTGACAGCGAGGCAGCTCATGTTTTCACTTGGAATGTAAAAGTAAATTGTAAAAGCAATTTACCTTATAAGTGGTGTTTGTATAGCTGAAGGGTTAATTAAAAAGGTTTGTAATGAAAGAAATTAATCTTTGGGGAAGAGTTGATTCATCAGAGGAAAATTTACAATTAAGCTGATTATGACAATCAGAGCTTTATGGAGCAAACATAACTAAGGACCATTGCATACTTCATGATTGCTTTGGGTATGTGTGCCCTGTATATATTAGGAATGAAAATTCTTAGTTGTGTTTTTGGAAACAGGCTCTTACTGTGTAGTTCAAGCTGGCTTTGAAGTCACTGTGTAGCCCACACTGGCTTTGACCTCGTGGGGCTCTTTCTGTCTCAGCCTCCCAAGGGCTGGGATTACAGGTGTGCACCCCCATGCCTGGTGGTCATTCCTGTTCTTAATATCTAGTAGCTTCAGGTTCTTGAGACAGCAGTGCCTGTTGGCTAGATCTTCTATTTTTACTCAGCGTAGTGTCCTTACTCCCAAAGGTGGCTGAGTTTGTGGATGAGAGGCCGGAAGAGGTAAAGCAAATGGAGGCTTTTCGTTCCAGCACCAAATGGAAGCTTCTGGGAGGTGAGTTCCAACAGTAGATTAAGCCTAAATTTCCTATTATGGGAAAATTTTCCTTTTCTATGCTTTCCTTTCTATGCATAGTTTCTATATCACTGATCCTGAAAAATACAGTGGGGGAAAAGAATTCAGAACTTCTTCAGAAATAGTAAGAAATTACAGAAGTTATAGATAGGAAGTTATAGTAAGGAAGTTATAGATAGGGTATCCCTCCTGCTCTTATATTTTCCCATTTGGCTTTCTGAGGTCAGAAAGTGGCTCAGTTGGAACCTTTCAGCACTCGTTCCTCTCTGGCCCAGCACAGGAGAGCATTAGAATAAACGAAGGACTTTTGGAAGAGTTTACAAGAGACAGGAATATAAATGTGTATTTAAAATGCTCTGCAAATAGACAAGAGAAGTATTCTCAAGATATCCGTAACTGCTTGTTGCTGCCCCTAAACAAAAGAGAGCTGTGTACACCTTTTGGGCTTTCTGAATAGTCCTGAGGTGTGTGCTGCTAGGGCATCTTTTAAAATCTTGGGTGTGAGGGATGGATAGAGCATTTGTGGGAATTTGACTCTTTGCTATTTGTGTGTAGACCACAATGAAGACCTCCCCTTACATAGTCCTTTCCATCATGATACTCCGGACTCATCTCCCAGGAGGGCCCGTCACGACACCCCGGATCC